CTCCTCCTCCGAGCTCTGCCCGGCCTTGCAGTACAGGATGCCCACCTTGCGCCGCCGGCACAGCTGCCAGATGGGATTTATGGGATTTGGGATTTTGGGATTTGGGGTTTGGGATTTGGGGTTTGGGATTTATGGGGTTTGGGATTTGGGATTTATGGGATTTGGGGTTTGGGATTTATGGGATTTGGGATTTATGGGATTTATGGGATTTGGGGTTTGGGATTTATGGGATTTTGGGATTTATGGGATTTAGGATTTATGGGAATTGGGGTTTGGGGTTTGGGGTTTATGGGATTTGGAGTTTGGGATTTATGGGATTTATGGGATTTATGGGATTTATGGGATTTGGGATTTATGGGATTTGGGGTTTGGGATTTATCCTTGCAGTACAGGATGCCCACCTTGCGCCGCCGGCACAGCTGCCAAATGGGATTTATGGGAGTTTGGGATTTATGGAGTTTGGGATTTATGGAGTTTGGGATTTGGGATTTATGGAGTTTGGGATTTGGGGTTTGGGATTTATGGGATTTGGGGTTTGGGATTTATGGGATTTGGGATTTATGGGATTTGGGATTTATGGGATTTGGGGTTTGGGATTTATGGGATTTCTGGGATTTGGGGTTTGGGATTTATCCTTGCAGTACAGGATGCCCACCTTGCGCCGCCGGCACAGCTGCCAGATGGGGATTCGGGATTTTGGGATTTGGGGATTTGGGATTTTGGGATTTATGGGATTTGGGGTTTGGGATTTATGGGATTTATGGGGTTTGGGATTTATGGGATTTGGGGTTTGGGATTTATGGGATTTATGGGGTTTGGGATTTATGGGATTTGGGGTTTGGGATTTATGGGATTTAGGATTTATGGGATTTGGGATTTATGGGATTTGGGATTTTGGGATTTATGGGATTTGGGGTTTGGAATTTATGGGATTTATGGGGTTTGGGATTTATCCTTGCAGTACAGGATCCCCACCTTGCGCTGCCGGCACAGCTGCCAAATGGGGATTCGGGAATTTGGGATTTATGGGATTTATGGGATTTATGGGATTTGGGATTTATGGGATTTATGGGATTTGGGATTTATGGGATTTGGGGTTTGGGATTTATGGGATTTATGGGATTTGGGATTTATGGGATTTGGGGTTTGGGATTTATGGGATTTATGGGATTTGAGATTTCTGGGATTTGGGGTTTGGGATTTATCCTTGCAGTACAGGATCCCCACCTTGCGCCGCCGGCACAGCTGCCAAATGGGGATTCGGGATTTTGGGATTTATGGAGTTTGGGATTTATGGGATTTATGGGATTTATGGGATTGGGATTTATGGGATTTGGGGTTTGGGATTTATGGGGTTTGGGATTTGGGGTTTGGGATTTATGGGATTTATGGGATTTGGGATTTGGGATTTATGGAATTTATGGGATTTGGGGTTTGGGATTTATCCTTGCAGTACAGGATCCCCACCTTGTGCTGCCGGCACAGCTGCCAAATGGGGATTCGGGATTTTGGGATTTATGGGATTTGGGGTTTGGGATTTATGGGATTTATGGGATTTGGGGTTTGGGGTTTGGGATTTATGGGGTTTGGGATTTATGGGGTTTGGGATTTATGGGGTTTATGGGATTTGGGGTTTTTGGGATTTGGGGTTTATGGGATTTGGGATTTGGGGTTTGGGATTTATGGGGTTTGGGATTTATGGGATTTGGGGTTTGGGATTTATGGGATTTCTGAGATTTGGAGTTTGGGATTTATCCTTGCAGTACAGGATGCCCACCTTGTGCCGCCGGCACAGCTGCCAAATGGGGATTCGGGATTTTGGGATTTATGGGATTTATGGGATTTATGGGATTTATGGGATTTGGGATTTATGGGATTTGGGATTTATGGGATTTGGGGTTTGGGATTTATGGGATTTATGGGATTTGGGATTTATGGGATTTGGGATTTATGGGATTTGGGGTTTGGGATTCATGGGATTTATGGGATTTGGGATTTATGGGATTTGGGGTTTGGGATTTATCCTTGCAGTACAGGATCCCCACCTTGCGCTGCCGGCACAGCTGCCAAATGGGGATTCGGGATTTTGGGATTTATGGGATTTGAGGTTTTGGGTTTGGGGATTTGGGATTTGTGGGATTTGGGGTTTGGAGATTGAGGATTTGGATTTATGGAATTTGGGGATTGGAGAAATTGGTGTTTTGGGATTGGGGATTTGGGATTTATGGGCTTTATGGGGATTTTGGGATTTGTGGGATTTGTGGGATTTGGGATTTGAAGTTTTGGAGATTTGGGAATTGGGCAAATTGGTATTTTGGGATTTGGGGATTTGGGATTTTGGGGATTTAGGGATTGAGGAAATTGGGATTTTGGGGGTTTCAGGATTTGGGATTTATGGGATTTATGGGATTTATGGGATTTATGGGATTTATGGGATTTAGGGATTTGGGATTTTGGGATTTGAGATTGGGATTTGGGGAAATTGGTATTTGGGGATTTGGGTTTGAAGAATTGGGATTTATGGGATTTGGTATTTGAGGATTTCGGATTTGGATTTTGGATTGGAGATTTTAGGGTTTGGGGATTTGGGGTTTTGGGGATTTGGGAATTTGGGAATTTGGGGCTTTGGGAATGTTTGGGGTGGTTGGAGCAGTTTTGGGATGGAGAAATGAAATCCCAAAAATCCCCGAGCCCCAGGAATCCTTCAACCCTTGGGATCTTTAACCCCCTGGAATTCACCAAATCCCCAAAAAATCCCAGAAAATTCCCCAAAAATATCCCAAAAGATTCCCAAAAGATTCCCAAAAATATCCCAAAAATTCCTAAAAAACTCCCCAAAATTCCAGAAAATTCCTAAAAAATCCTTAAAAACTCCCAGAAATTCCCAGAAATTAAAAAAAAATCTCTGAAAATTCCCAAAAAAACCCCCAAATCCCAGGAATCCTCCAAGCCTTGAGATCCTTCCAGCCTTGGAATGCAGCAAAGCCCAAAACAGCCAAAATCCCAAAAAATCCCTAAAAAAATCCTAAAAATTCTGTGAAAATTCTGTGAAAATTCCCAAAAAACTCCCAGAAATTCCCAAATATCTTTAAAAATTCCCAAAAAATCCCCAAATCCCAGGAATCCTCCAAGCCTTGAGATCCTTCAAGCCTTGGTATGTGCCAAAGCACAATACCCCCAAAATCCAAAAAAACTCCTAAAAAATCCGGAAAATTCCCAGAAAATTCCCAAAAAAAGTCCCAAAAAAATCCCATAAATTCCCTAAAACTCCCAGAAATTCCCAAAAAATCATCGGAAATTCCCAAAAAACACCACAAATTCCAAGAATCCATCAAATCTTGACATCCTTCAACCCATGGAATACGCCAAATGCGAAAACGTCCAAACCTCTAAAAATCCCTAAAAAATCCATGAAAAATCCCGAAAATTCCCAAAAATTCCAAAATAAAATCCCAGAAATTCCCAAAAATCCAATAAGATCCTCTAAAATCACCAAAAATTCACCAAGAAAATCCCAGAAAATCCCCAAATTCCAAGAATCCTTCAAGCCTTGAGATCCTTCCAGCTTTGGAATGTGGCAAAGCCCAAAATGCCAAAATCCCAAAAAAACCCTAAAAAAATCCTGAAAATTCCCCAAAAATTCCCAAAAAACTCCCAGAAATTCCCAAAAAACTCCCAGAAATTCCCAAATACCCTTAAAAATTCCCAAAAAAATCACCGAAAATTCCCCAAAAATCCCCAAATCCCAGGAATCCTCCAAGCCTTGAGATCTTGCAAGCCTTGGTATGTGCCAAAGCGCAATACCCCCAAAACCCCAAAAAACTCCTAAAAAATCCCAAAAATTTCCAGGTAATTCTCCAAAATTCCTAAAAAAATCCCAGAAATTCCCAAAAATCCAATAAGATCCTCCAAAATCACCAAAAAATCACCAAAAAACACCCAAAAAATCCCAGAAAATCACCGAAAAATCACCGAAAAACGCCAAAAAATCACCGAAAATCCCTCAAAAAATTCCCAAAAAATTCCCAGGAATTCCCGGAATTCTCACCCCCTGCTCGTCCAGCTTGAGGAGCTGCTCGGGGACCTTGGGCGAGGCCAGGGCCAGGCGCAGGCAGTGGATGTTGAGCTCGGGCAGGAGGAATTCCAGCAGATCCCGCGCCGGGATCCCGCGCCCGGATCCGGCCTTGGCCGTGCTGGGGGTGGCGTCCTCCAGGATGGAGCCGCGCAGCGTCGCCAGCTGGGGGAGGAATTTGGGGTGAAAAAGGAGGAATTTGGGGAAAATGGGGAAGGATTTGGGGGAAATTGGGGTTTGGTAGTGAAATTCAGGGAGTTTAGGTCAAAAATTGGGGGGTTTTAGCTCAAAATTCAGGGTTTTGGCGGCAAAATCGGGGAATTTTGGGTCGGAATCGACGTAAAAATTGTGGAAAATTTATCCTGAAATTGAGGGATTTTCGCCCAAAATTGGGGTGGTTTGAGTCCAAAATTGGGGAAATTTGAGCCCAAAAATCAGTGGTTTGGCACCAAAAATGAGGAATTTTGGGTCAGAATCGACATAAAAATTGTGGAAAATTTATCCTGAAATTGAGGGATTTTCACCCAAAATTGGGGTGGTTTGAGTCCAAAATTGGGGAAATTTTAGCCCAAAATAGAGGGAATTTGAGCCCAAAAATATTGGTTTGGCACCAAAAATGAGGAATTTTGGGTCAGAATCAACATAAAAATTGTGGAAAATTTATCCTGAAATTGAGGGATTTTAGCCCAAAATT